CATGCTGTGTTATAGTACCGAGCTGGTTGCACAATGTGTATATCTGCTGTACATATACGTAATGCCTTGCGTCTGCTCCGCTAGTGAAGTTGTAGATACAGTAGAGTCGAAATCCTGACGTAAGAAGTATCTGGCTTGTTTTGGTATACTAAAATCATCCCGCACCTTACACTGATCTATAATTTCGCCGTTAATTGGTGTTTTGTCCTCAGAATCTTATTTCTTCATCAGTACTAGGGGCGAAAGACTACCTTCTCTTTAGTCATTCTTTTACACTCGCATTTGTCTCTGACAAGCCCGGTGATTGCTGGCTTGCACTGTTGCTAATGCATTCCAACGCTTACTAGGTTAGACGCAGTACCAAAACTTCGCAACGATAGCAGTTATCTGCTTGCCTTGAATTGAATATACCTGCTGCATGTCGGACGATACCGCTCACGGATTGTATTGTGTTTGTGTTTTGTTCGGCAATAGTTGACGACAGTTTCGCTTGAACTTTGATGATAATTATTTTGCCTCATTATATATGCTCAACAATTCATATCATCTAAGATGCAGCTTGAATAAACTTTAAGGGCTGGGTGGTATATATTACAAAAGGACACGTTCGGAAAGCGATAGAAACACTCTGTACTCGTACTCGTGAGCCAAATTCTTTTCAGGTTGCAGATTATTACAAGCAGCTATTGATGCGCACGGCCAGCAACCAGCAATAGCAGTGTACATAAAGTAATGAAACTTTCAAATGCAGTATACACTGCCGATGAATTTGTACAGTGTGTGAGGGTTTGCTATAACAGAGCGAACTTGTGCTATCAGCGCTATGCATAAATAATACAACAACAGAGGAACCTGCCCTGCGAGTAGTTAGTTACACAATCACCGTACCAAATCTGTTGAAATGATCGGTTGGTATTCAAATACTTGGTACTATGGTAACCGCCAAACCTCGCCAATATGAAAAATTTCTGATCGAGCTGATTGAAGCGCTGATAATAGACTTGGCCACCGTTCATCTTTGTATTTGATAAAATACGCCGACTCGCTGTCAGTGTCTTCGTTGACCGAAAAAGAAGGTGAACATGACTAAAGCAATAGGCACCAGGTGGACACACAGTCTGAGTAGGCAAGCAAAGAATATTGCCACCGCCATCTTTGTACTATTTACGGTAAATCTTGTATACGGTAATTATAGTACCTACGGTGTGGGTGTACGCTCATCGAGCTTGCTAGAGCTATCTCGACGGACAGGTCTACCGGTGTCTGGCGACACATATGACGATCGATCTGCATCGCAAGATGACGTTCTGTTCTCCTTTGCCGGGCACAGGTATTTAGAATGTTCTATTGCAATGTATCAGAACGGAGTTCCTATCTGCCTGCCCAGCTGTTGCAAAAGCACGCATCAGAATTTAATACCTCCGAATAGTCGGTACTCCATCTGTA